ACCCGAATTATCTTAAAAGTCAGCATAGCAAATAGGCTCACTAATTCTTGTCCTTGTGAATTAAAGATAAGTGATGAGGGTAATTACACCGTGATCCAACATGGAACAATCCGAACAAGACACATGGATGGCCAAACACACTTGCCACAACATTTGGACAAACTTATTAATCTAGCCAAACACAGCATACCAAGTGTCACAATTACGAGAGAGTATTTCCAATATAATTGTTATATTTAATTATAATAATAAAATTATTTTTCTTTCTATCACGTCAGTCAATAATTCTGGAAAGAAAAAAAATTAAATTTATTATTATAATTATATTTTATTTATAATAAATAATTATAATATAACTGTTGCACTAAATATGCAATGATTTGTATATTAATTTTTTTCCAAACACAGTTTCTAGTGGCATTCAGATGTGACATAACCACCCCACAAACCATAAATGGTTTTAGGAATTTTTTTATTTTTATTTTTTTTAAACTACATGTCATGTCACGTTAGCATTCTCATGTACGTCTTCACCATAAATATCCTCATTGTGGAAAGTTGCTTAAACGCTAGTTTCTAACCATTTCAGCACTTTTCTGGTTATGGAGTTGTTTACATTGGACCTGAAGAAAATTTGAGAACATCCTGATAGCTTAAAATGAACTAGCTTCCTCTTACTCTAATTTAGCGATGACATTGCAACCAAGAACAATAAACAATTTTTGATTAGAACCGAACATTTGTATGCCTTTTTTTTTCAATCAGACCCATAAATCCCCAAATAATTCCTCTGTTCTGCTTCTCTTTCTTTAACGTTAAAAAGAATCACTTTAACCCAAAATCTTAAAGTGTTGATTTATATTATATTCTCTAACACATTCTCTCACATAAGAGCTATTTGAGCTTGAAGCGTGAATATGACACAAGCCCATTATTGATCTGTTTTGTGCTGTAAAAGTCTATTTTTTTATTCTGCCTTATGCTTTTCTTAATTTCACCTAAAAGTGGGGCGGTGAAGATCGAACTCGTGACCGTATTGGGTGAAGGCCTTTTTAATGATGTATATTATATTCTCTAACAAACTTCAAAATCATTTACGCAACCGAGACCACGGTATTCTTGAAAGAAATATCTTTCTCAAAGTCAAATTCTTTTTCCCCTTAATTTCCACACTCAATCGCTACTTTAAAATATTTGATATTGTGTTTGCTTTCAAACATGTAATTTTTCATTTTCGAATACTATGTACCATATATTTTTCAGTTACTATTTGTAATTTTCAATCTCAATTTCGATATGTTGATTATATAAGCTTTTTGTGTAAAATATATAGGAATTTTTGGGGATAAAAGATACATAGGATTTTAGCTTAGATGATTTGGGTTAGTATGACTTTATACGTACAAATTATAATTTTCATTGTTTGTGCACCCGAATAAAAAAGTAATACAATAATACAGAAGTTTAGCATAAAAAATCACATAAAAGTATAAGTTTTTTTGTTTATATATGTACTGTAATTTCAATATTCAATGATTCTTGACATTTTTCATTTCAAATTTTTTGTATGTATGTCACGGTATATTTTAATTTCATAATTTTTATTAAATTAAGTGTGTTTGGATTAATTTATTTTAAAGAAATAATTATTTTATTTCACAACTTTCTAAGGGTACTTAAGAAATATTAGTTTCTATAATTAAACAGTTACTTTTAGCAAACTCCAATAATGTGGTTTTATTTTATATTCTTGATTTCTTGTGCTACTTTTTGCTTTTGACTTTTTCATATTGTCATTGGTTACTTTTCTAGCATTAAAATCCTAGGCTACTCTATCATTCTGCTGAATCTAAAGATTGATAGTAAAACATCGACTTGTTTCAATTATGAAATATGCAAAAGAAAGAGGCACAACTACTCGATGGTCTGTTCGTCAAATGTCTCTTCGTTAAGTTCTTATACAATTAATTAAATATCAAATCATTCATTACTTACTAGTCCCCACTTTTTTTCATAGAAAAAAAGGAAGGAGATGTTAGACCAATGAGGAATGACTCGTTAGTCAAATTTAAGAGATCAGAAAATTAGAAATTGGATTACAAACTAGAGAGACTATACGACAAGGCGTTTTGGTCCACTAAGTAAAAGGTTGTAAGATTTTTATTAAGCCTCAGCATATCATAGCAAACAAGATCACGAACCATGTTCATGCATGAAAGAGAAAGAGTAAGATTGGGGATGAAAAAGACATGAATTTAATTATTACTTATTTTATTTTATTTTTAAAAAAAAAGCACATACTTGATCAAACAACAACACACAAAAATGCACATATAATGGGCCTGGCCCATCGGCGGATCCACATTATTACAAGGGTCTGCCAGTGCAAACACAAATAGTCATTTGCTTATTACTTTCAAACATATTCTTTTAAGTAGTCATTCATTTCTCACTTCTAGTACATTTGAAAGCGAATGTAATTACAATATAAAGCGAATGACTATTTTAATAAGCTATAAACATTTTTTTTAAATAGTCAAACGCTTATACCAAAAAATTGTATATAAATTATCCAAAAGACATTCGCTAAATATTTTAAATTTTAGCTCAATGATTATTTATTAAATTATTAGAGTCTCCGTGATTATTGGATTATAAATTTGATCCCCACTGTTCCTCACTTGTAATATATAATTATATTTTATATTAAAATAATAATACTAAATGGGCCAAGATTATTTTGCATTGCTATAAAATAAAAATCTTAATAAATAATCATTGCCTGAAATTGTGGTAGCTTAGTTAATTTTCGATTACTATTTTTTTTATGTTAAGTTGAAATTTTTTTTTCTTATTTTTATTTTTTTATTTTTTAATATATTTAAAATTTTCTTAATTTCTTTTTTTTCTTGAGTCCTGGCCCTGAACCTCGGCCATACATAAATAAAATTTTATAAGTCTACCACTGCATTATCCTATTTCCCCGAGGCAAGAGCCTTAGTACCCCCACAAAAATAGAGATTAAAGTTTAACTTGATTTTTACTACGTACGGAAAAGTACACATATTAAGAAAGGGAAAAATGAATATGATGTAATAGGATATAAGAAATTTTACCTACTGACCATTGGTTTCCGCACCAGCCTTTTTTACTTTTTGTTTTTGTTATATGTATGGGATCTACATGCATCTTTGTTTGGACAAGAAATCTATTTTTGATCTTGTTACATGATGTTAGCTTTATCCATTAAGAAATTACCATAAGGCTCAAATATTTTTGTAAATTATGTCTTTCATTTATATTATCTGGAAGATTCTATATTCAAGTAACTAAGTAAATTGAAAACTCAAATTCACTTTTATATGTTTAATCCAGTTATTTTCTCAAAACTCTTTGGAAGTTAAGTTGGCTAAAAATTTCAGAACTATTTTAATTTTACTCCATTTGAGAAGTCATTTTGTTGAAAAGTCCAAGTTGATTAAAATTAGTTCCACGCAAACAAGTAGTCCATTTTAAATAGAAGTCTAATTAAGTTAATTAAAACTTTTAATTTCAAATGTCGGATTCAATTGGAAGTAATTGTATCATGTTATAGATGATTCCTATGTTCTGTTTACAAAATGAATTTTTTTTTTGTTCCAACTATTCTTCTTGAAGTATTTTTAAAGCCATGTTTACTTGATACATAATTGGTATTTTTGGGATAAGTTTACACGTAGAAGCATGCATGATAGAGGAGTTTGAATAAATATAGGGGTCTCATGTTCAAGGTTTCTTGTCGTCATTGTAAAAAGAAAAAGGAAACATGATGGAGGGAAGAAAAAAAATTTCAAAAAAAAAAAAAAGGCTCAGAAAAGTTTGGAAATGTGAGTAATTAATAGCGAAACTTAAGAAATGAACAGTAAGATACCAATGATTGGCACCCATGGATCCCAATATTAATAGCCAAAGTTTTACCCTACTCATTGCTCTTGCTTCCCAGCTTATTTAAAGCTCAAACAGGAAAGTACTATAATATATTATAGCAATTTCCATTAGATCAGGGTTTAACTTGCAAGTACAAACATTTGTTTGTGTATGTTCAGCAGTCATAAATCTTAACGTAAGTCTTAACTATTATGATTTCATACAAGATAATTAGATGACTATTAGAGAACATAAACATTGATTTTTAAGATCCATGACATTACCAAATTCCAATCATCATATATAAGGCATAAATTTGGATACTAAATCTTGATCCGTGATGTGATGTGCTCTTGAAATTTGATGATTGCCTAACAAAGATCAACAAATCTAATTTCTCAAACTCCTTAATGATGGTAATTATTGTGAAAATGACAATGGGAAGGGACGGATCAATCCTTTTCTCTCTTGAATCATAAGAAGCCTTTACAATTCATGTCAAGTCAGTAGTTTTTTAAGGCATGATAGTTGGGAAAACAACTTCTCAATATAATCAATAAACTCTTTGTATGTTATTATTGAATCTCATACAAGCTACAAGTACATGAATGCATTTTACGTGAGTTGGACGAAATATTTTCTAAGAACATTAGAATTCAATGGAGAAAACATTACAATAAAATTAAAATCAACATGAGCTAAGGGCCTGTTTGGTGTGACGTATAAGACATGATAATATAAGCTTATACTATACGTATCACATTTTCACTTGTTTGGTGTGACCATCGTATAGTATAAGCTTATACAGCATAATCCCTTAATACATTAAAATGATGTATAACTTAATCCGGCCTAAGGGTGAGGGATAAAGCCTGATAAGAGATTGATGTATTAACATCGTTGACCAATGTAGTTTTCAAAAATTAATATATTATTTTAATATTAATCACTACAAGAAAACCGGTTTTTAACGTCGGTTTTTTTTTTTTTTTTTGATAACATTTAACGTCGGTTTAACAACGGTGGTTCAATTAAACCGCCTCAGATTGTTTAATTTTCCGCACTTCTCCTGTTACAGTTTCGCCTCACCTTAATACATCATCTCACTTTCTTCTTTCTCGTCAATCTTCTCAGCCCCAAGGTTCGGTTAAATAAAAAGGTTCTTTGTTTCCTCACATTTCCGCCATTGTCTTCTTTCATCGTTCAACGAGGATCTCCTTTCTCTGCCGCCATTGCCTCCGAGCAATCCATCAAACTTAGGCACACAACGCTCATCATTTGCCCCCAAAAAAAGCCTTACCACCACCAAGGTAAATTGATTTATATTCCCCCCTTCTAGATTAGGTTTTTATTTTTGCCGAGAAATTTGGCTATATCTGTTCGAATTTGAATCATTCATCATTCACCTCTACCATTGTCAATTTTCCTAACCTATCATACGAAATCCTCATAGTTAATCACAAGATCCTGATTTCCTCAACTTCATCGCGCTTTCAAAATTCCAGTCCACTGAGTTGATGATTCTTTATTTGCATTGGCTGAATCGCTATGGTAAGCAATAAGTTAGTATTGGTATTTGCCTTTATTAAATTTTCTCGTCTTCATTCTTCCCCTACCTCGATTTATTTGAGAGTATTGGTACATTTTCCTTATTTCTAATTCTCAATTAAAAAGAAAATCTGGCTGAATCCCCATGCTAAGCAATAAGTAGATGCAAAGACTATTCTCAGCTCTGTTAATAACATGATATTGATAGGGGGGGTAACAGAATTGTAGAGATTATTTCGGGGCTTAGGGCAGGGTGGGCAGAGACTATTCTGTGCTCTGATTGTATTTTCTTGATGCATTTTCAATATTTTCATCTACTCATAATCTGTGTTCTCTAACTAGTATTTCCTCTTCCATTGTAAGGGAGGTTTCCTCCTCGAACACCATTTTACAGTAATAGCAGTTCCCATCATAATTGCTATGACTTGTATGGTCTATCAAGAAAACAATAAAATAAATTTCAAACTGAATATGTGGTGGGGATAGGACTTAGAAAATTTGGCTATTTTGGAAGTTGTTGGTCATTGGTGAGAGAGTGGGGTTTTTCTTTGAATATGCTAACTTCTGAGTATTATTATTTGGTGCAATTTGTGTTTTTCTCTGAGGGCTCATTGCCTTAAGGATGAGCTAATTTTAAAAAGACTATAAACACAGCATTTAGGTTTCAAAATGAGACTGACTACAATTGCTCACTGAACAATTTTTTCTTGATATAAAAAGAGGTTATTTTTCTGTATAAATTCATTATCAAAATTTTGTTGTTTGTAATGCTGCCTCTACTGTAGTACATTTCATCACCTGTATATTTTAACTGGTTGAATTTATTTTTTTACTTGCCACTACTACATGAATTTTGAACTATGAACATATTTGCAGTATAATTGTTGAAGCATGTAACAATGCCCATTGCCTTATCTAATAATCAAACTACGAAACATAAGATGATTTGATATTTTTAAATGTTTTCTAAATATCTCTGTACCTTGGTAAAGTGGCTGTGAAGAATGGTAAGAAATTTGAGAATGAAGTGAAATGGGGGATTGACTTGGCATCTGAGCATGAAAGGTATTTTGCCAGTTTGTGCTTTCAAGTTCTTGTTCTTATTGACTTGGGGAAAATGATATCTAGTGGGCATGGTGTTTAAGCAGATACCTTACAGATGTGGATACAGATGAACATTACCAACCAAATATTTCTATTGGGATACTTCATGTGGCTCTTAGACAGATGATGTGAAGGCTCTCTGCCTGAATCAGTAGCATAATGACTTCTTATACTTCTTTGCTGATAACCTGTTTTGGTACTCTGGTCAAATCTTTTGTACAGGGAAGATGAACCTCAAGGATTTCACATTGGGTTTGTCAATTAATACTCATGCATGGATTATGCAATCTCCTTTTTCCCCCTTTCGATTATTTTGTTTGCTCTTTTTGTTAGGTATTCAGGATAAAGGCTGGTCTGTTGCTGGTTTGGTGATATTACCTTTTCAATTTTCCTTTAGCATGAATCTTATTTTGTAACCTTAAAGGGGTACAATGAAATCACAAAAATGGTTCCTTTATTTATTTATTTATTTTTATGCAGTTCATGTATCTCGTGTTTGAATTGGTGGCCATTTTAGGGGCGAGCCAGAATGATTGGTTTTGTATTCTATTTTTTAATGAAGCTCAATTCACATTTTCATTTGGTTATATAAGCTATAACCATAAAGTAAATTACAGGTAGCATTAGTAGGATGTGTATTATGTTTTAAAGTTGAAAAATCAGAGAACTGATCGGACTATTGCTTTGGTGAATCAGTATTAGTTTTTCTCGGTAACCACAATTCTAACTTATTGTTGTTGATGCTGTAAGAAATTGGCCATTCAAGTTAACTTTTAACACTCAAATGTTCTAGTAGGATTAAGTCTTATAAAATGAAGGTTGCAAAACTTTTATTTGTATGCTGTTGGCATGCCTTTCTAGGCCATTTGGCTAAGATCAAGTGTGCTGTTGGCATATGATGACACATTAAATGTCGTACATGCATAGGGCTGAATAGTGTGTGCCAATATATTATAGATGGACATTCTCGTGAGTCAAAAATTATAATGCAAAAATTTATCTTGTAGTTTGGTTTTTAACTCAGCCCAAAGTTACGTTCTGGGTTATTTTTTCACTACCTACATACTATTGAAAGAATGCTGAGTTTTATAAATCTAATCAAATTATTATTTTGAATTTTGTATTATTAATTTCCTCTGTTAGCTATTTTATTGTTCAACGTTATTTAATGCTTTCCTTTTTTAACCCTGGACATTGGTTGCTTTCTTGATATATATCCCATTAGAATAAGGCTTTTCAAGTATGGTCGATGACCCTTAGATGATAAAAATATTGCAAGCAATGGATCTACTAACTTTGAATTTGGCCATGCAGATCATTTTGGTAATGGCTGGAGTTGGAATGTCCTTTAATGTCAAAAACCCCAAAAAGGTAAATAATTAAATTGATTAACATATGCTTATATTAGGCAATTATATATATATATATATTGACAAATATATATATACACTGTGTGTGTCTATCGAAGCTTCCCGAATGGCACATCCAAATCACTCTGCATTAGAAGCTTCCTTCTATAGGAGAAATCGACGCAGCACCGACCCAAATCGTTGCACTCCTTCACGGTGGCCACAATCGAAGAAACCAACCTGGAGAGCGATGGGTTCTCGCCGGAATCACATTTATTGGCGGCGATTAGAGCAGAGTGGAGCTCTTCCAGCTTGTTCCGAATGAGTTCTCATTTTCTGGCGAAGACCTTGACCAAGTGTGTGAGAGAGAGAGCAAGGAGCAGATGAGCTCGACAGCTCGTCGGAGGCGAGAAGCTCCGGTTGGAGCCTCTGCCATGTTTGACTTTCCGGCGAATTCTTCATCACCTATTTTCATTCTCAGTGGCTATTTAGAAAATCCATGACTGATGAAGCAGGAACAAATATTTCGGTGTAATATTTTTTTTTCCTTAAATTAAAATCTACGGCGGTTTAAACAGCCTTAAAATCACCGTCATAGATTCTGCAACGGTTATTCCGGCGGTCATCCAAAACCGACCTGAAAAAATTTAGTGGCCCCAATTTCGCCGACAGTTGTTCAACCGACGTTGAGTATTCTAAAGGCGGTTTAAACAGCCACTAGGTATCAAATAAACCGCCATGAAAACCCGCTTTTCCTGTAGTGAATCTATTAAAATAAAAATTAATTTTTCAATATATTAATTTTTAAAATATTGAATATTTTTATTTTTATAAAAATTAATTTATATTTTGGACACACTGATCAATAAATTTTTATAAAAATTAATATCATATGACATTTTTTGAAGAATTATATAAATTCTTTATTAAAGGATATTTTTATTAAAAATATTTATTTTTATCATATATAGTATTATACAGTGCATTATCAAATGCTAGATGATATTATCTTATATAATATATTATTTTATACAATACTGTGCCAAATGCTGGATAGTATTAAAATTCAAGCAGGTCTTATACAATCAGACATTATATTATCAGGTCTTATACTATCAGACTTTATCTTATACTATGCACCAAACAATGCGATGTGAAAGTGCGTCGAGTTGGATGGACTAATTTGAATAACTCAATAATATGTGGCACCAACAAAATTGAAGTAGAAAGATTTTGACCAAGTTCAATTCAATCAAATATGAAGTGAACCCACACACCCATAAGCCTGAAAATGTTATAATTAATCATTATTATTATTTTTCAAAATTTACTCATATGTCAATTTAATATAAGTTAGTTAAATATATTTTTAAAATTATTATTTTAAAATATATAAAAAATATGAGTCAGAAGGCCAATCTAAATAGACCATTACCCGTATGAAACTGGGCTCATCACCTAATAATTTATTTGCCTGTATTTAACTCGTTATGGACTCAGCCGAATGTTATGTAGCGGGCTGCAATGAATTGATACCATGATGGATTGATGGTGAATGTTTCCAACAAGACCAAAATATGGTTACTAAAATCATCATAATAAAATTAGTTGAATCGAGTAGTATGTTTGGACCTAATTATTTTTGAGTTCTTGGGCTTTCAAAAACTCCATCAAAATCCTCGTAAATTCCGCAGTGTCACTGAACAACCTATTCGGAAAGGTTTGACCAAAACTCAAGACAAACGAAAATTGTTACTAAGTAGCTTTGAGGTGAAATCTAGTAAGCAACAGGCGAAGTATTTTATTTTATTTTTTTTAATTTTTTTTTCAAAAGAGTTCACTCGAGGCACTCAGCTTCTAAATGTATCCAAATAACTATGACTATGGCACATCAAACGAGCGTTATGTGCGAGCATAATGACTTAGCGTATTTTTTAACTTGAAAAATACTTCAGTAAGTTGGTCCATATATTAATAAAAGAAAAAAACTCCTAAACTTATGAATTAGTGTTTTCTATTTTTTTATGTTAAAAGTAGAGATCTGGATCCAAAACTCTCACATGCAAGCGTTATATATTTTTTTTTTGGAAATATGCAAGCGTGATATTATTCCTGAATCTCGATGTTTGTCGGGGGTACTCAAGGGTCTGATGTTATTGAACTAATTAAGAGTCAAATTACGTAATTTACCCTTGAACTTAGAGAACCAAATTTTTTATCTTATCTTTGTTCGAGATGAAAATGTGGCTTTGGATGATCACAGATCTCAACGTAGTTAACTTTTGATTAACTTTTACTTGTAATTTGCAAATTAAAATATGAGAAATATTACTCTCCTTTTACATGAGATAACTTATCTCATTTTCTCTCAATTCGATTTTCGCACCTCACTTTTTTTTTTTTTCTTGTAATAGTGGGACCCACCCATTTTCTCTCTACCACATGAGATAACTATCTCATGTGGAAGGAGATTGATAAAACCCTTAAAATATAGATTTCATCCCTCCCTCCCCCTCTCTCTCTCTCTCTTAAAAATAAAAGCAAAGCTCAATTAAAGTCAACCCTTGAACAAGTGATAATGAATATCAATTACCTGCCGCTTAATTAGTTACTTACTTATAAGTACGACATTTGAATATGACTATAATATACGTTGTTATAGAAAGAAGCAGTCTCTTCATCTCTGCTGTATAATAATGAAAAATAAAGACCATCTGTTTGACAAATTATAATATTGGACCTAATTAAGGTTAGGAGGACAAAAAATGTAAAGACAATTACCAATATAATATAGCAAGGTATAAAGCATGGGGGAGAGGGATGTAACAAGGACAACAGAAAACCTCAAATACTATAATACATCTCGTGCTTGTGGAAATGATCAAAACCTTAATTAGTCATATAATATATATGGGTTTAATGTTTATACAATATAATAAGTCATTTATATTCAACTTCAAAATCACGTTATTTTAGATTAAAAAAAACTAAAAATTATAATGAAAAAAATTATTATAACACTGAAATAAATTATAATTATAAAAATACCTTAATTTTTTCTTCAAAACAATGTCGTTTTGAGTTCAATGTTGATAACTTATCTACATTGACTTCAGAGAAAATAAACTATTTATATATATGAAAAAATATTTATCCTTTTATAAGATAGTCATTTTAGTTAAAATTAGTGTTTTTTATTTAAAAATGAAATTAAAAAATCACCTCACTTTCTCCTCCCACGATTTTCATTGTGTATATCCTTCTTTTACTTAAAATGACACAATTCTATGTACAAACACCAAACTATACACACACACAAATATATATATATATATATATATATAATGGTATAAGAGGCATATAATATTTAAGTGTAATTAGGAAGGAGAGCCGGCCAATTTAGAAAGTCCTTGCTCACAGGAAACTCAATTATTAGGAAGAACGATGCTCATCAATCATAATCCAACCAAATCAGGAGAACTTTCTTTAAGTTAATTTACACACACAATATATATGTAAGCCATTGCATGTCCTTTCTTCCATACCCCTTTCTCTCATTTTCTCTTTTTCTTTCCCTTTCTCCCACCCTTTCCAAATGAAGTTCCAAGTAATGGAGATTCTATTTGGTAAAAATACCCCAAAACAAATGATCCCAAAAGTGACTTTACTAGCAGTCTTTGCCATACTTGTTTTTACTGTGACCCCCCTGTCATACCCTTTGTTTAGATACTCTTCATCATCATCCCTGAAGAACAAAGAATCCAAGCAACCATCCTCAGCATTTGATGATTTGAATGAGTCAGCAAGCTTGCCATCAACTTCTGTGAAGAAGTGTGACATTTTTACAGGGGAATGGGTCCCAAATCCAAAGGCTCCATATTACACAAACAAAACATGCTGGGCAATTCATGAACACCAAAATTGCATGAAGTATGGAAGACCAGACTCAGAGTTCATGAAATGGAGGTGGAAGCCAAATGGATGTGAACTCCCCATATTCAACCCTTTCCAGTTCCTAGAAATTCTTAGGGGAAAATCCTTGGCATTTGTTGGAGACTCAGTTGGCAGAAATCAGATGCAATCCATGATATGCCTCCTATCAAGGGTAAGTCTCTTCTACCTTACTCAAATATCAAAACTATATGGTTTTATATCTACTTTTTCAATTTCTTTGGTTTTTTTTAATCCTTTTTTAACCTTTCATATCAATATATATGCTTCATTGGTTGCTAATTTGATTTTATTTTATTTTTTTCAATGTTCTGATAAGAGTATTCTCTAATCAGTTTTTGATCAACTGAGATCATACTCTTGTATCAGTCTAGTATGTTTTAAAAAAAATATTTTCTTAGTCTTGTTCAAGATTTAAACTTGAATAGTCAAAATAAGATTTATACACCTAACGAAAAGGCTAACCTTGAAAATTACTTGGTTGAGGTTCTATCACATAACAAGCCTGTATCTTTGCCTGAAATTCAGAGCAAAAATACCTTAATTAAATAATAACTTTTTCTTTTTGGAAATCTAGAGTTCTTTTTTTTTTTAAAAAAAAAAAAAAAAACCGGAAATTTACTTGATATGTACTGGTGAAATTTGAAGTGGAGAAAGGGGATTTCAAACTGGTGAAAAGCCATTATTGCTATATATTCTTCTAATGTTCTGTAGACTCGTGAAGATTAGACATCAATAAGGTTCACCCCAATTTCCGAATATTTATTTTTCAAAAACATTAATACACTTAATCAGGATTGGATTTACTCCAAATGTCTTTGTCCCATCTCTTGTTTTGATTATACCTACTTTGTCCTTTTACTAGTAGCGTGGTTGGTTCACCTAAGCCCATTATGTGATTCAAGGATTAGGTAAATGATCAAATGAAAGTAACATGCAAAAAAGTATCAACCATGCATACCGAGGAATGGAATCTTTTCCCTGGAAACTGTGCCTATCACATAGAATTCATCCGACCTTGTCCTCCACGTTCATATCCATCACATGAAACCAAAATTTGAAGAATAAATTAGTGTTTGTAAAATTACTACACCAAAATCTGAAGTCTCGGTCCTTACTTTTGCTTCTCTCAAAATAACACTCCTACAATTAGCTTATGCATAAAGCTACTCTTAACCTAACTTAGTCACTGATGATGGTAGTAATCTTCATTTTATTGGTCTCCAATTTAGGTTACATGAGTATAATGTGGAGTCTATGTCATCTAAACCTGCACTTAAAATAGAAATGGTTGAGAATTGTTCAGCTGTCACATTTATATGCTATATGGGAAAAAACAAGAATCCCCAGCCTTTTTTTTGTAGTTTTATATCAAATTTCTTTGACATTCCAACCAATTTGCATAGGACAAGCCAAGTCCTTGTTTGTATCTGTATAATTAGTTCAATTAAATTATGCATATGTTTAGGGCTTCGATTAATTAGCTGTTATAGATTTAAGGTCTAGTATTAAATTCCATCTTAATTATTAAGAAAGGGAGAATCTAAAAAAGTGGCCGCCTAGACAAAGTTCAATGATTGTTGAAGCTCTAACTACACCAAAATAATAGAACAGGTTGAGAGGTCACATTTCTAAAAGTAGATAAACAAGTAATGCTTACTAGACTACTCTGTTGACGTTAAGTAGTCTTGACAATATAACAACTTTGCATTGGGCTAAATCATTGTTTGTATATGTAATTAATGCCATATTAACACTCGCCCTACGAAATCCATATCTGCATGGAAGAGAAAAATTTCCCCCATAATTAGTGTTAGTTTAAAGGGAATCCAAGATGAGAGGCCTCATGGGGCCACTCAATTATTTTATTTAGATATCTATGATACGAAAGTGGATGTATATCCTGATGTATTATTTGCATTAGTATAACGCATTATTAATGAGCTTAATTATTAATTATCCAATTGTGTGTCTTTTTGCGGAAAAGTTCACATATAAACAATATGAGCTGGATCCTCCGGGTTTCTAACATGCAGGGTTTCTCTTCACTGGGAACACAGAAACATGACTTGAAATAATCAAGGAGGCTAAAAGGAATGGTTATAAAGGTGATGTTACTTATAAAATAATCTGAAAAGCTAGTGGTACTTGTATAGCGCATAGATTGTTCAGGGAAGGACTCCACATAAAAAAATATTCATTTGAAACTTGACTACAACAAGTATAAATTATGGGATAAATATTTCTGATTGTTGTAGAAATTATTTTTCTGCTGTACTCACATAAAAGTAAGTATGTTTCATTGTGAAGAGAAGAGAAAGAAAAAATTAATAAAATCCACCCACTTATTTTTATGTAAATGCGACAGGTAAATATTTTTTATAGAAATGTTAACCCAGTAAGTTATTGTGAGTATATAGTAATTACAGACAGCCTACATAATTGTTGTACAATAGCAAGTATTCACAATTCAAAAAAAATGAAGCTTTACTTTTTATGGTAGCCAGTGAAACTTTATTTGATGAACTACCACATTTACCATTCTTGCTCTTTACTTTTATTTTGTTTAACAAAATCTTGGTCTTGTTAACTTCTCAGGCGGAATGGCCTATAGATGTATCATACACACGAGATGACTATTTCATGAGGTGGAAGTACCCAAGCTACAACTTCACAATGGCCAGTTTTTGGACAACCCATTTGGTCGAATCCAAAGAAGCAGATAAAAAGGGTCCTGGAAATGGACTCTTCAACCTTTACCTTGATGAGCCTGATGAGAAATGGATAACACAAATTGAAGATTTCGATTATGTCATTCTCAATGCAGGACATTGGTTTACGCGGTCATTGGTGTTCTACGAGAAACAAAAAATTGTTGGATGCCATTACTGCCTCATGGAAAATGTCCCTGACTTAACCATGTACTATGGCTACAGAATGGCACATAGGACTGCATTCAGAGCCATCAATAGGTTAGAGAACTTTAAGGGTGTAACATTTCTTAGGACATTTGCACCATCTCATTTTGAGAATGGGTTGTGGAATGCGGGAGGGAATTGCCTTAGAACTAAGCCATTTAAGAGCAATGAGACACAATTAGAAGGACTCAATTTGGAGTTTTATATGATTCAATTGGAGGAGTTCAAAACTGCTGAGAAGGAAGCAAGAAAGAAGGGTTTGAGATATAGGTTACTTGATACCACACAAGCATCATTGTTGAGGCCAGATGGTCATCCAAGTAGATATGGGCATTGGCCTAATGAGAATGTGACATTGTATAATGATTGTGTGCACTGGTGCTTGCCTGGCCCTATAGACACTTGGAGTGATTTTCTGCTGGAAATGTTGAAGATGGAAGGTGTAAGATCAGCTGAAGAGAGGCTACATGTGCACAAAGATTGACAAATGAAATAAACTTAATACATTCATCAATTTTATGTGTTATCTTACCACATGCACGTGTTTTGTAAGTCTTTTTTAAGATCAAATTTGATTAATGTTTTCACTAATACCCTTACTAAAAAAATAATCAGTTATTCTTGTACATGCAATATAAAAACATTTTGGAAGCAATATGTTATAAATCAAAGAAAGGTCCGAAACAAAGGTGGAGGCCAGGGACATGGGATGCCATGCACCCCCAAATTTATAACTTATTTTTATGTGTTCATTTATATATTTTATTCATGGTTCTTATAAAATAAATTACATTTTCATATATAATCCCTTTAGATGACAGTCATTTTCTTTTCGAGTTATATATATTTGGTATGAGTATGACTCCTTGCATAAATCTCTGGCTCCACCCCTGGTTCGACATTCCATTCAAGGGGAAAAAAAAAACTATAGTTCATTATTGGTAGCAATGAATTACTGGCTTCAAAATGTAATATAAACTGGTGCTTCAAACTATTTTTATCAAGGGTTTCCCCGCATTATATTGATATATGTTGCACGAAAGCATTCAGAAAAACTTTTAGCTAGCAACTTTGGGATATAAAAGACTGAACTAAGCTGCCATGTTATGAGAATGAACCAGACAAAGGACAAGGTGTCAGAGAAACATAACATGACATGAGACATGAAAATTGGAAAATTATATCTTCAATGACTTCACTGCCAAGCGAAGCCAAGCTGAGTTGTAAGGAGTTTTTTGAGACCCAATCGTCAAACCACAACAATTTCATGATAAATGATCAGTATAAACTGACTCAACAGTGCTCTAGAGCCTAATGATTGAAAATATATGACTAATTATGATCATAACTGGTTATTATTGATAGTGTCAATTATTGGGGGTTAATACAACCAAAAGAAATATTGGTGGCTAAAATTCAAGCTTTGCATCTTATCTTGATAATTATAAAAAACGATCCCTTAACAAAAAACAAGCTTTCCCTTGCCATGTTTTTCATGTCATGGGACCCTTTTGAAGACCCCACTAGGATACAAGTTAGTCCATATACGGTGTTCCCTTGGATGTTCTGGTGGAATAAAAATAAACAAAATTTCTTCATAAATGATTTGTTGGCGTTTTGGATGATTTGGTAGAACAAATATAAACATATTCAAAAATTTGTTCTGCTTTTATGCAATCAATAGGGGGCACGAGGACCACTTAAATATCTACGCCATGTTGGCCTTTTGGATTTTGGCCTTGACGTGTACATTATTCCCTTGGTCGCTTGCCACCACTTTATTCTTTTTTTATTTTGGTAATCTTTTTTTTTGGTAATCTCACTTTATTCTTAACTTGTACTCTGACCCTCTTTCTGAAAAGTTTTGTTGTTAACCATATGCAAATTCATTCATTATATTTGAATCTTTCCTCAATCTTACACATTACTTAGTTCTGAATGTAGCATTACTTATTTCATAAATAGTGTAACGTCCAAGAATGTACCAAGCCAATTTTATGTTACTTTTTACTTCAGTTTTGTGGCATAATAATCATTACTCTTTTATAATTTTATATACTTCTGAAGCACTCTATAAATATTCACATCCATCAACATTAGGCAATGATTGTACAACAGAAACAGAGGAATAAGTTTCTTCTTTTTTGAAAAATAAAAAAAAGGATCGTAACTCTGTCATTAGTTAATTGTAGGGGTGAAACTGGGCCGGATCGGGCCCGCAGGAGCCTACAACTCGGCTTACGTCAGGTCAGACTTGAACTAGTATATTTCGTAAAACAGGTTAAGCTTGGACTTTGAAAAAACTTGTTTAATAAAAAGGTCGTATGCCCACTTTCACAAAGTCTGGCCTATAAACCTATCGGCCGACCTATATTGTACTATTTATTTTAAATAAAAATAAAATAGAATAAGTATGTCTTGAAGAAAAAATAAAATATATAAATTTAATCAATTACAATTATTAATAATTTAATTATATTTTAATAGAAATTTGACTTTATTTCTTACGTAGGAGGAACCAACATCTTAGCATGTTAGATTGTGTATATGAATATATTAAAAGATTTTTGGGAGAAGTTATATACTTACTACAAGCATCCTGATGTGTTTGTTGGATTCATGTAGTTATTTTAATTTACATAGTATGGATTTATTTGTTGGATCTGATGAAATATATATTATTTAGTTTGAGCATTTTGCTTTTGAAAGTGACTTAAATGCAGTTTGTATGAGTTTTGTTGTGATTAATGATTTTATTTGGAAGTTGAAATTATGATTTTTGGTTTAGCAATAAAATTTGAGTATTTTGTAAAGTTGATTCATAGTTATGCTCGGAAGTTAAAAATTAACAGGCTAACGGGATAGGTCAGAATATTTATTTATTTTTATAAATGAGTCAAGTCAAGCTAATAATTAGACTCATGCTAGACTTGGGTGAGGCCAAATTAAATTTTTTTGGCATAAACTTAAACTTTTTGAGGCAAAGTTTGGTGCAACACAGCCCATTTTCACCCTAGTTAATTGGCCCTTGGTGGAAAATGTAGAAGAATGATATAATCAAAAAACAACTTTAATCATCCATAAAAAAAAAAACTACTTTAATCTAGCACAAGTCAAAGCAAGTGAATTTGTAAACAATGAATGTAATAAGTGTTGGGTGATCTATCTTTACCAAATTGGTATCTTATGCTGTTAAGTTAGGATCCAAAGACATCATATTCTTTATATTTTTCTTTATCATTTAGTGTGTGAACCCCAGTAACTGAGAGAGATGCAGTAGCGGAGTTGGCCCAAAAATTTAGGTGATGCCAAAAAAATTGACATATCAAATTATTAAAACATTTATCGTAATTACACAAATTTATCAGGAAAAAAATTTACTACGAATTCTAATATAGTTATCTAAATTATGTACTAAATAATATCACATAATATTAAAAATTCAAATGAACAATTGTTATTGATTATATATCAAATCAAACATATAAAAATACACTAACCTTTTCAGTAAACATTTCAAACATTAGAATTTCACTTTTCTCCCACAACATAATAAGTAATGAACCAAACATTATCCTAAGGATATGAAAACACACAAATATAATAATTATATGTATAATAAGCATTGTCCTTCGTCTCCTCTTTCATTATCTCAATTCCTTAAATTTTCAATATTTGATGTTAGAGAACATTGCCCTTGTTTGCAACAGCCATAAACATCAAGGAAAGTTCTCACATTTGGGAATTAGGTTTTTGACTATTCTTTGTGTGTGCAATAGCACAAAACACAATAGTTCAATGGACCTTCATATTCCATAGTTATAGTCCTGTTATTCATTTGGTTTCATGATTGTTACTTTCAAGGGTTAAGTGTTTGTCTTTTTGAATGAAAAATTGTATTCTTTTAGTTTTTAACACTATGTCATACCACTAAGACATAGTTATAACATGAAAAATCATTATTTTTCTCCACGTCAGCTGAAGTGAATGAGAAAATAGAATTTTTTTTTTCATATTATAACTATGTTTTACCAGTAAAATATAGTGTCAAAAACTAAAAAGATTTATTTGATTTAGTTGGACTCAAATTTTGAAATAGTTCAACTAATCAGGTGAACTGAATTTTGAAATTTTTATTAATGTGATGTGTGTATTTCGAAAGTTAGAGACAAAGTGTTTCTGTAATTGGGCAATAGATGAAACTTTCTCCAATTAGTTTTTGGTGCTATTGGTTGGCCCAATACAGAGAGGTGACACTGAAGAAAGAAATATGCTACATTTGTGTTGGTGTAAGTATGGAATATGGATAGATGGAGACTAGAGTATTCCCTGCATACTGACCTGCACTGTCTAAAACAGACCCAGCCGAGGATCAAACCTTGGGCCTGAATACAGACCAATTTGAAAATCAATACATAACAAGTAACAATCAGTCCAATAAGATATGTACCCACAACTTGCTTTACATTTTTATTCTTGATTCAACAATCAATTGTAGCCAAATACTCATTTAGCTTGGCCCATTCCCAATCTCCTCTTTTCGTACCCCTTGCAGCCTAAAACAAATAATAAATAACATATTTCATGTGTTTAAATAAAGTTGTCAAAATGGGTCAACTCATTTTATTAGATCTTAACTCACATGAGTTAGGGCTAAAAAGCTTATAATGTCAAATGAACTTCAATAATAAATGTTCGTTCGGGTCAAAAGCCCTATAGATTAAAGTCAGCCCACGTGTCATCTAAAATTATAATTTCATAATTTTTTTATCATATTCAATACTTTAAAAAATATTTTAACAAATAAATATTCAACATTTTCTTAACATATTTTATAAAAATAATTTTTTTATAATTTAATTTTTTTTAATAAAAATATTTTTACACTAATATACTAGTAAAAATGTAAATAAAATTTTAATATAAGTGACAATTTAGTTATTGCCTGTACTAAATTCATTATTAAAGGATGCTATCAAATAAATATTTTCTCATTAGGAGTAATAACATAATAAAACAACTCTAGTGAAAAACTAAAAGTAACGATGAAAAAATAATCTTAATACCAGTATTGAATAACTTCTATTAGTATGCTTATATATTTGAAAATAAAACCAATGATGTAAAATGATCTAAATTCTTTATTGACGCGCAAATGAAATTCTCTATTAAAACATATCACTACTGAAAAATTAATTTTTGATGTAAAATATTATAGATAACCTTTCACATTGTTCATAACATGTGGCTCTTTGTTTTTCATTACCTTTGATGTATGATATAACCATCACACTCATTGTGTGTTGAATTGTAGAATACATCCTAGGAAAAATGTTGCAAAATATTATGGATGACCTTTCATATGGATTATGGATGATTTTTCACATAGTTCATAACATGATGACTCTTTTATTTTTATGACTTTTGATGTATTTTATAACCATCACACTAATGGTGTGATGAATTATGGAATACATCCAAGAGGGATGACCTTTTATATGGTTCATAACATATGATTCTTTATTTTTCATGGCCTTTGATGTATTCTAGAACTATCACACTAATTGGTGTGTTGGATTGTAATTATTTTCCTAATTATGTTTATAGTCCTATATAAGGACCTATCTTAGATGGAAAAAATCGTAGTTGGTGAATTCAGAATATAATAATATTTTTTACCTTTAAGAGCTCATACT